GAGCTACCAGGATTCCCATGTGGAAGATAGACAGGCACCTGGTAAGCTAGACATGAGTATAGTCTCTTTATTGCATTAAGACCCATTTTCTCTGAAATGCTTTTGTTCTTAATAGATAACACTTTGCTTTAAGGAAGCTGTCTGCTCATTGTTTACCACTGCCATTGCTCCCAGAGGGAATGGACTGCAAGTACAGAAACAGAACCAATACCTGAGTTCTGCTGCCCATGGCCTGGTCTGAGAGTGAAAGAATCCACTTGATTCCACTCTGAACCCTGGTCTACACTACAAACTGATGTCGGTATAACTATGTAGCTCAGGAGTGTGGAAAATCCACACCCCTGAGTGGCGCAGTTAGACCGACCAAACACCAGTGCTATGTTGACAGGCAGGCTTCTCCCACTGACATAGCTACTACCTCTCGGGGCGCTGCAGCGCTGTATGTGTAGACAAGCCCTATGAGAGGTGACTGCTCAAGGCCAGAGATCTGAAAGAGGCTGCACTCCACGAGACCAGGAGAGGTCAGAGGGGCAGTTAGCCTGGTAATTGTGACACTCTATACTTAGGTTGACTAACACTTATCATTATAAAAGATTTTTGCAACTTGTATTTGAAAAGGTCTAACATCTCCTTTGTTTGCAACAGGCTTTTGAAATTCAGCAATGGGAAAGCCTTCAGGCTAGAAATATGCCTTTTCTTTGTCCCATGAACTTCTGTTTGGGTTTGGCTGAGATATGAGCTGCTAACAATCGCTCTTTCCTTTCTCTCACTTGTGCTTCCACTAGAACATTTTTAGAGTTGCGCATTGTGATGCTGGCAGACAAGGTGCCTGCTCATGCCGAAGTCCCAGGTCAATTCACCTGATAATTAGTGTAGATCAAAGTAATTGTTAAATGTATAAGAATGTATTTGGTATTTAAACTTCATGAAAACTAATGGGATGTTGCATGCATTGTTGTCACTTATCAGTATCATATTATAATGTAGTAGCAAACGTTGACATTGTGTGTAGCCCTGTAGCTAAATAACTCCTCAAACAAGAAAGAAACCTTGTGAAAAGCAAATGAAGAACTTTAACAGAAAAGTGCTAATTTCTAAGCAAGATGATCGGAGGTTCAAGACTCAAAATGCATTCCTCACTCTCTGTCATCAAAGGAAAAGCCCACGTGGGTAGTGATACTGTCAGCTTGTTTTCTGTGAGAAGAAGCTATAAGAATGGATTCAAAGAAAGATCCTGGGTCTCTGGACTGTTTGGATTCTTACAGGGAAATGTACCAGGTACAAAGTGAAGCTCCCCAAAGAAAATCTGGGTATCCTGAAAAGACTTTTGGGAGCCTGGCAGTTTATTACATCACTGCCACCATTTAGAATTACAAACTGTGACTCACCTGTGCATATGTTTTACCTGCTTTAACCTCTCAATAACTCTCATTTCCTTTTCTTAGCTAATAAAACTTTAGTTAGTTTACTATAGAATTGTCTGCCAGTGTTGTTTTTGGTGTAAAATTTAGAGTACCAATTGATCTGGGGTAAGTGACTGGTCTCTTGGGACTGGAAGCAACCTGAATGTGATGTGATCTTTGGTGTAAGTGACCACTTATCACAAAGTCCAGTTTGTCTGGGTGGCAAGATAGACTGGAGACTCTAAGGGGACTGCCTGTGACTCCATGGTAAGACTGGGATCTAGGAGTTCACATTTGGTAATGGCTGCTTGGTGAAATCTAATTCTAGAACACACCACCAGCTTGGGGTGTCTGCCCTGTTTTCTGACAGTCTGTTCTGAGGTGGGCACTTACAGTTGTGAGCCGCTCCAAACAGCATAACACACATAATAGGATTTGTTTATACCTTTTACCTTAAAAACACACACACAAACCTTGGGTAATTATACACTCCAAATGACATTAAAAATGTTATTTAGCTTTCAAAGTCCAGTGTTCAAAAGTTAGGAAGTACCAGAATTAAGGTTGCTTGTGCAAACACAGTTTGGCCCCCATGTGTGTAAGTATTATGAGACAGTCTTTAATTACATGGTGACAGGCTATTTTTTCCAAGGGACCCTGCCTCACTGGATACACAGGACGGACACACAAAGGGGCAGAAGTAAGGTTGCTCAGGCAACAGTAAATTTGGCATTTGTCAATTCTGAGTACCAAATGTTGCAACATTTTCTTAACACTGTTTTTGTACATAATATTAGTTTAACGTGCCGCAGCCTCACATTCTCCCCATTATATATGTATTAAAGTATATAGGTACAGTTGTCTACCAAGTGAATTAGAAGGTAATCTCCACTATCACAGGTGTCAGTCACTGTTACATTCAGTTTATCATAAGAAGAGTTGCAAACACACTTTCTTGGGACTATGTGACAAACATTATGCAATCTGAATATATGACTGCATTGATACGTACATTTTTTTCAGCCACCCTTGCTCCTAATTTTCCTGCTTCAGTAATCAGTCAAATGATGTTAGTGCTGCTCTCCTCCTAGCAATCTTCACCTCTGTGCAGTTTGCATGCTAATTTGCCAGAAAATGACACCGTATTTGCATGTTTTTTCCCATCTAATTTGGAGTATCACAATTTAAAGCAGGTGTGACACAAATAAGGCAACTTGAGCAATCAGCCCAGGTACGGATTTGTGGATTGCATAAGAATTTGTTTGGAGTGTATTTTCCTGTCTGATACCGTTCATTTTATTTGTTGGGGGAGGGGAGTAGCAAGGGGGAGAAGCTGAGCAAATTGAAAATAGAAACTATGTGTTTGTTTAGTGTTAAAACTTCCATGGAGTAACCTGGGTTGTTAAGATTCTTTTGTGTGCCTTTGAATATGGGGGTGCCTGCTGACCCACAGGAAAGTTTGCTAGGGCCTGCGTAGGCAAGATGATGAACTTCCCCTGCAAGGCCCTGGACGGGAACTGAGGTCTGTCCAATGGGAGTGAAACATACTCAGCTCCTCACACTGGGCCCTGAATTTGACACCTGCCTTCTGTACTTAACTAAGGCCAGGTGTACAGTACAAAGTTTTGCTGGCATAGCTATGTCGGTCAGAGACATGAAAAAACACACACCTTAGCGACATAGCTGAGCTGGCAAAATCCCCAGTGCAGTCACAGCTAAGCTGCCACATAGAGCTCTGCTGACTGGATTATAAAGATCTCTGTTTGTCTCAAGAAGGTTAACATTCCTTACCTCACTGAGGCTGTAACCGCACTGGCACTGTGCAATCCAGTGGAAGTGGAGGGCACTCAGCTCCTCACAGGACTGGGCCCGGAACTTAACACCTGCCTTCGGTACTTAACTAAGGCATTGCCTTCTTGTAGGATGGTCGCTAAAGAATAACAACCTCCTGCTGCTTCTAAGATGTTCCTTTAGCTGAAGTGCTAGAGAGCCATGCAATGGCACTGACAGGTCCAGGTTCTAACCTTGTAGATGACCTACGTAGAAGGGTGTTATAAGACCTTTCCTGGCTTGAGAGAATTTGCATCTTCCTTATTTTCAGCACTTTCTTATTTCTATCCCGCTGCTCACCCTTGTAGAATTATTCAATCTGACAGAAATATTACATGGAGACCCTGCACTATATATTTTTATTCCCAGTGAAGGGGAGTGTGCTGTTATCATAGGCTGAGTGCCCCAGGGTTCATGACCTGCTCTGGTGTGCCACTCAATCCATTAGTAATACAGTCCCTCAGGCATTCAATGATGTCAGAGCTGTCGAGATAAATTAAAACCTGTTCAATCTTTACTGTCATGTCAGCTGCTGGTACTTTTTCTTTCCTTCTTTAAGTAAACTTCCTGTTGGATTTAGAATGTTCAAACTTTCGACGGAGCGATACAGTGCAGAAGATTTTCATAAACAGGACTTCAGATTGCCTTTAGCAGAAGGTGAGCTTTTCATACTGAAGACACTGTTTTCTTCCTCTGAACTTTTTAAATCTTCATACATACAAGATATAAAGTGAGAAGGCATTTATGGAAAAATAATATCCACTTAGTTCTTTGTCACCTAAATCTCTAAACACCTGGATACAAATACCCTTGACTTTTTGTGGGGTGTGGGTAGTGAAACCTGAAACAGGTATGGGGATAGGGTGACCAGACAGCAAATGTGAAAAATCGGGACAGGGGATGGGTGGTAATAGGAGCCTATATAAGAAAAAGACCCAAAAATCGGGACCTATAAAATCGGGACATCTGGTCACCTTAGATGGGGATCCAAATTTTGCAGATGGCTTTATTTCTGTGGTGGAGTGAATCAAATCCCAGGATGTGAATATCCCTGAAATCTGATGGTGGTTAGAGAAGAGGATATTAGAAATCCAAACTGGGTCTGAATTTCACAATTTCCTTTATCACAATGATGAGTCAAATCAAAATCCTGGATCAAAACATCACTGAACTTTGGAGGAGTTTGGAATCCAGATCCAGTTGGAATGTTGCAAAATCTAAGATACCTGTCCTTCCCCAACACTCCTCAGGAAATACTGCTTATTTTTGCAGATTGGAAAATATTCAGGTAACATATTGTTTGTCGTCCCCCCCACCATTTGTGTGCCCTAGTCCTTCTGGGTTCCTTTTGGGACCAGAACCAGAAGAGGCTGTTCTAACTAGATTTTTGGTCTGATCTGTCTGAGGAATAATTGGGTCTGTAGAAGGGCTCGGCTGAGGCTCGTCCCTCCGCGGGGCTGTGGGGTGTCCCACCACCTCGCAATAGTTCGCTATGGGCCCAAGCCCTGGGTCAGGGAAGGGCAGCAAACACACAGTCAGGAGCTCAGGCCCTTAGGCGGGGCTGAGCCAACAGTTCAGTAGAAGCCCAGGCCCTAGGTCAGGGTGGGGCAGCAAACACACAGTCAGGAGCTCAGGCTTCTGAGCATCTGGTGCAAGGGGGAGACTGCCACCCATGAGTGGCAGGGGGGACGCAGGCCCACCCACTCCACTGCGTCCCAACCCGGGGCCCTAACAGCGGCAGAAGACCCGCTGCAGTGTCAGTGGGGATCCTGACCGCAACACACTGACATTGGTTCTGGCTCTGCTGCGGCCAGGCCAGGGTCGGCTGCCCCCGGGCTACTTCCGGACTCCCCCTCGTAGGGTACCTGGGTTTGGCCGGTGTCCTCGGCAGTTTCCAGCACCATCGGTTCCTCTGGGTAACTAGCAAAGGGTAGGCTCGGCTGCTCCTCGGGGTAGCTGGCGAGGGGTAGGCTTGGATGGCCCGGCGTTTCCCAACCCGGAGCTAGGCCACAGGCACCTGGCCTCTCCGGCAGCCAGCTTTCAAGTGAGCTCTGCAGCGGGGCTTTTCTACTTCGTGTCGTGCGCTGTGACATCTGGCGGGCGGGCGCAGGACCCACTGGCTCCGCCCACGTTGGTGCTAGGGGAGGCTCGTCCCTCCACAGGGCTGTGGGGTATCCCACTGCCTCGCTACAGGGTCTTTCATAGAAAATTCCTTCCCCTTCTGCAATTTTGGAGATAGTGTGCTAGATCAAGGACCGACTGCGTTCATAGAAGCTGAAGGGAATGATCCAGTTCTGTATTATTTAGCTCTGCAAAGCAATTTGGGCTATGGTTTGGCTGAAAGACACTCTTCTGAAATTGTCTTGTGTTGTATTGTATGCTCTGCGGACAGTCAGGCTGTAGCCCAGTAATATACCAGGATTAAATCTTAAATTTCCTTCCACTGCAATCATTTCCTTGAATTAATTGTTTCTCAACAATAGATAATCAAAACACTTGCCTGTATTTTATTTTTAAATAAACCAGGTGAGGGTCAAGAGCAGATAGAAAACACACTGATTAATGAATGTTTTTTAACTTTCAACAGATGGAAAATTAATTAATTTTCTGTAAGACAATGTTGTTTAGATTAATACTTCATGGGGAGCCACATAAATCCTTTAAATGAATCCTAGCCCTAGTTGAAAGTACGGACGGCTGAGAGGCTGTAAGGAAGTTTGTCACCAGCAGACCAGTTTTGCAATGGGCTCCCTAGGGAGGAGGAGAGAGGATGGGATACATGACAACTGGTTGAAGTGAAGCAGAAGATCTGGAGTTTTTCAAATATCTTTAAACAAGAGGAAAAATCCTTCATTTGAATATGAGTTAAAGGCACATCTCTAAGGGCCAAATCCTTTATTCAGGCAGCCAATGAGGGTATTAGTTATGAATGTCTACCATGGTAGAGCTTTTGTGATTTAGACATGGATCCATTTCATATGGGGCACTGAACAACCATCAAATATCGACAACGTTCAATCACTGCTGACCTGAGTTGAATTCAAACTCCTGACCAAGGGAGGCAGTGTTTTTTCTGGTTTGGGGATTGTTGTTTTTCTTTTGAAAATGATTTTAGTGAATTCTCCCAGCTGTTAGGATTTGGTCTGCATGGACTGCATTTTTTCCAAAAATGCTAATATAAAGTTTTCTTGATATTTATGCTTTTGTGGGTATTTACAGGACCTGCAGCATGAAGATAGCAATAAAAACCCATCTCAGCTGCTGGCAATGTATATATTTATGACTGGAATGTAAAAACATTTGCTCTGGGTTAAAGCCTGATAGAATGGCTCAAAGCCCAAAGGAGAACTTTTGTTTTTCAAAAATCCTTCCCAGATCCCTTGGGCCATTCTGAATTATACCAATGGAAAACAAATGTTCTTATTTTAAAATGAACTTGTATGGCCAAAGCTGTATAAAACATGGGGGAAGGGATCAATGAAATTTTATTTGGATTTGGTTTACCTTCCCTACATGTTGCTTGAAATCTCACACAAAAGCAGCTCTGGGTATGATTTAAAATAATAAATCTTTCCAAAGATCCTGTGGATTTCACTCAAATTCAGCCCAGACTCACTCAGTTTTTGTCGCAGGCTTGCTCGGCAGTTTGGCAGTAAACCTTTCGGCAAGCCTGGGCCACGCCTGAGGTTTGTAACTAAGTCTGGGACTATGAGAGTTTGTCATAGCATAGCTCAAACAAAACTCCGGATACTCAATGCAAAGTCGTACCAGGATATTAGTCCATAATGTGAAATTCTATTTGGGGGCTAGATTGAAATCTTGTAAGCAATGAAACCATAATGTGGATTAATATCCTATGCTGTCTGGAAATTTTAAAAGACCCCCAAAATGAATTGATTTTAAACCATTAGATTACAGGACAAGAGGCTTTTTTTTTTGGCTAGTTAAAAACATCTAATGGATTATTTTAGTATGCAGACTTACAGTGCAAAAGGAGTCTGAAGCTAATAGGGTCACTATTTCTGAGATAAAAAGCCTCTCATAAGGGCAATGGTACCCAAAGAAACACTTGTTATAGGCTTGTGTCAACAGTACCTGGTCTATGATCCATGAACTACAGTTTCCAGGCATGCTATAGTATGCAGTCTCTAACTCCTACAAAGCTGATGTGATGGTAGCCAGATGTGTCAACAATTCATATTTTAATAACTCCCTGTTATAATCAAATTCTGCCTTGCTTGCACACATGCATCAGAGGACAGAATTGTGCCCCAAGCAGTTACCTTCTGCAACCAGTATAATCCATGTTTACCTTTCCTGTTTATCTGTTTATTCTAAAATTGTAATGGTTAGTCTGCCTGGAAGGAAGGCTGTAGCTGGGTAAGGCACCTGCACTCCCTCCTCTGACCAGGGCCCCACAGCTGGCCAATTCAGTCCCCAAGGCATGTGGTCCTTGTTGGGAAGGATGCATACCCCTAGTCATCCAGGGAACACACTGATTAAGCATGTCCCCAGGCAACCTCTGTGAACAAAGAGCTATAGAATCCATGTCTATAATTCCAACCCTGATATTCTGTGATTCTAAGAAATTCACTTTAAATTGCCTTCTGCTGGTGGAACTCCACTCCCACTCCAAGAGGAGAGCGCTGGCCTGAACACTTCCTGTTCTTCCTTGGCTACAAATTGCCCCTTGACACCAGAGCCCCACTGGTGCAATGGGGTCCAGTTTGGTTTTGGTTCAGCTCCACTATATTTTTCTTTGTAAGCAGCTACGGTTAGTCTAATTTGACTTAAGACAATAACTCACCTTCCTAAGAGCCTATGGGTTTTGCTTCATATTGAGCCCCAGATCCACTCAAACTCATCCTAGAACTGCTCAGAAAGTTGGGAGCCAAACCTACGCTGTTTAAGGTAGGTGCATTTTTGGTGGGACTCTGACTTAAACCTGCAAGAAAAAGAAAATTAATAGAAAATGCTGCAAATCTGAGCCCAGATTCTCTGCTAACCCACATCCCTCATGGCCTCATTGACACCAGTGCAACATGGCTGTAAAATGGTATCACATTAGCGTGGGAGAGTTTTGCACTCACTCTTACAAACTTTGCTTTGGCATAAATGACTAACACAAGGTACACAGCAACAATGAATTGTTGGGACTTTATTATAAACCTGCAATATAGGCCAGCCAAACCCAAAGGTTCACTGAGGTTCACAAACCTTTCAGTGAACTCGGGCCACCTTTCAAGCAAATCTGAGACAATGAACTTGCCTGGAAAGCAAGACTCTGCAGCTGAACCTAAAAACCCAGTAAGGTTTTGAACTCAGCCAACCCATTTGTTCTAATACCCTTTCAGATCCAGAACACAGAAGCCGAGTCTACACTTAAAAGTTAGGTCAACGTAGCTATGGCACTCAGGAGTGTGAAAAATCCACTTGGTGTAGATGCAGTTTGGTCAACAGAAGAATACTTCCATTGACCTACCTGCCATCACTCAGGGACATGGTGTTCCTACAGTGATAGAACCCCACGCCACACCCCATTGCTATAGGTTGCATCATGGGTGGCAGGTACCATAGGCTGGGGGAGGCTGTGCCTCCCCAAACAGCAGGCATGGCCCCACCCATGCTCTGCCCCCAGCATCCCCCTTCCCTCTCTGCGTGCAGCTCCATTCCCCTCTGCTGGCCCCGGTGCTCTGGGGCTGGGGCTGCATGCCACCCGGAGCTCTTGGGTTGGCGGGGGGCTGGTCTGAGGCAGGGGCTGGCAGCCAAGGGAGAGTGTCTGGGCTCCGGTGGGGGGGGGTGCAGAAGGGGCGGTGCCTCGGGTGGAAGGGGTGGGGCTGGGGGCTAGGCTCCCCCAGCCGGTGGTTCACGCACCAGCCATGGGTTGCATCTACACTACGGGGTGATGCCAGCATAGCTACATTGCCATAGTTACCCCGCTATAGTTCCTGTAGGGTAGAGATAGTCGCAGTGTCCCCAGAGCTCGAGCAGAAAGCATGGCAAAACTCTCAGTCTGCACCTTCCGGAAATGCAGCCACAGGACAGATCTCCAACTTTGCTGCCAGCCTGTTTATTTCCCCTCTTCTACCCAAATAGCTTCTGAATTTATTTTTGGCCTTTATTCTTAAAAGGTGATTGCCCAAAGTGTCAGATGACTGCTAGCCTCCTTTAAGAATGGGGATGTATGCTGCCAGGCTAACTAGAACAACCTACATACAGGGTAAATGTGTAACTAGGGTTGGAAGGGAATCCTGGACAGGAGCCAGAGTATTATTGACAGCCTGTAACTTTGCAAGCTCAGGAAGGATATTGTTTGGAATCATTACAGAAGACCTTGATCACTTCAGATGTGTGTGTGTGTGTGAGAGAGAGAGAGAGAGAGAGAGAGAAAATATCAGGAATAGTCTTTGCTGCTCGCTCTCTCCTTAAAATATTATTCTCAGTATGCTCAGAATCCATAACCCCATTTGTTATATACCGCAAGCACATGGAGAACTCTAACAAGGCCTTCCTTTGGAAGCAAAGTTTATTTTCAGCAGTAGATTTTAGCTAGAAGAGGGAAATTCTGACTAGAGGCCCTGGCATTTCACAAGGCTTAGCTAAATTGTTTGTGCCTGCTGGTTTCCACAATCCTCGCAGCATGGCGGTGTCACTTTATCCCCATGAACTTGGGTAAAGTGATAGTTTGATTAATGTCAGCAGTTCAGCACTGTTGAAGGTGCACTCGTTTCTCTTTCCTTGGCTGAAAAACAATACAGGTTTATCACTTTCCAGAATAAAGACTGGAAACATCCTGAGCGCCAGCAGAGCCCAGGACTGGTGGAAAAGGAAAGGGGAAAAGAAAATGGCTTTTTGTTTAAATAGGGTGATACTGAGTCGGGAAAGGGAAGACCTAGATGGTATATAAGATTATATTTAATGGCAAAGGCCATTTCATTCCAATATTAGTATCAAAATGACCTTCTAGAGAGTTACCAAATAAGTAAATCCGTCTTGATTTCTTTAAAAATAAACTGAACATCTTTGCTGTAGACCAGAGATTCTAATAATTAACACTGGCTTTGGGGCAAGGTTTTGTTTTGATTTAGTTTGCGCAAATATTATTTCAGTCTTTGTTAGTTTTTTCTATTTTCAGTGACTCCGGCACCAGTCTATTTCCAGTTCTCTCTAGGGAGGAGAGTACCCAGCTAGATATTCCAGGATGGTGCCTTCCAGTCAGTGGCTTGAAGGAATGTCCCACAGAGAAGTGGCATTGGGCAGGGTTCTGGCCAAGCTTTGTGGCATCGCTGGCAAACTCGCATCTGAGATTGCTTCACGGAGGATCAAGGGCATAGGCACAATGTTTTCATTTTCTCTGGAGGATTTAAGTTTCATGGGGCCCAGTCTTGCAAAGTGCTTCATGCTCGCTGGAGTTGCTCAACATCTTACAGGATTGGTCCCATAGTTGACACTGGTTCTAGCCACAAATTCAGTACAGTGAAAATGTGCTCTGTGTGTGTATGGAAAGATACATCTTTATATTATGCAGTTTTTCTTTAGTACTCATGATGTGCTTAGTGCTGTTCAAGATATGGGTTCATATCATGTATTCCACACAATATACAACGTGTGTGTGTTTGTGTATATATCAGTCATATATATATAATGTAATGGACCTGCTGATTCATTACTGGGTACCTTTTCCATACCCCAATAGAGTTGGAAGGGAAAGGGTTTAACATTTGAAGAGTCCTCTGTTACCCAATTCAATGCATTACCAGTACAGGGCTCTGTAGTTCCCAGAGTACAGGAAAATGAAGTAACATCCTGAGGTCAGGGGGATCAGGCTGGGCAGAGATTCAGAGGTTACATCATGCAAGCAGGAGCAGCAGGCGGAGAACTGGCTGTGTAGGAAAGGCTGTGCAGAGGCATCTTGAGACTTGGGACAAGAAGGCTGAACCAGCCAGGGAAGCAGCCTGTTACCAGCTGCTGGCTGGAGTCCAGCAGCAGACGCATACAGGGCAGTTGCCTGTAAGGAGGAGGCAAGGGACAACTGCATGTGTGACGAGAGAAGGGTGACCAGATATCCCGATTTTATAGGTACAGTCCCGATTTTTGAGTCTTTTTCTTATATAGGCTCCTATTACCCCCCACCCCCCGTCCCAATTTTTCACATTTGCTGTCTGGTCACCCTAGACGAGAGCAAGATGGTGTGGAGGGGCTTCAGTGAGACCATGAACAAAAAGAACGGAGATCTGGTTGGAGGAGCTGCAGGTTGGTACTTCAATGCTTCAGGGAGAGTGCTGGGCTGGAGGGACTATTCCTGGCACTAGGCCTGAGGATGGTTACTTTGATACCCCTGTGCATTGGATTAGGAACTGCTTGGATGACCTTTTGTTGTAACGAAGTAACCGTGCCTAAGTATTGGCACCCTTTCTTTTCTGCCAGCCCTGGTAAAGGAGCCCCCTGTCATCTGAAATCTCTCAGGGTGAATGGAGACCCACTGAGGGCGAGAGCCTGTAGTGCCTAGTGTTTGGATGCCTACAGCGCTTGCCTCTGAATTCGTGGCACACCCAGCACACCACCAAATATCTTGAGGGGAGGGAGATACCACAATACACGCAGCCACACCCTGCAGCGGGGCTGGTTACAAGATTTACTAAAGTAGCTGTTTTGTTCTAACAGTTTGACGGTAACCTTCCATGACACAAAAATTAAATAATTTACCGGCCCAGATTGGTTAAGCACCAGCCTCTCTCTTTCTCGTTCAAATAATGTCACTAAGAGGCCGGACATAACATCAGCTGTGCCCTCAGAGACATTCCCAGGTCAAAACCAGGCCCAGCACATTTCCCATGGGGAGGGAAGGGGGCTCTGATTTTCTCTTCCCAAGCGCCACTTGTACTTTGCTGTCTTGAGGCAGATTTTTCACCTTCTAATGCTGGAGATGACTTGGGAGACTCCAGATGAGTCTCTGAACTGATAGGTTAGAAGGGCTGTTTCCCTAAAGCACCTTTTCCTCACTTACTGTGCATCTACAACTCTAGGGCACATTTGGGTTGCGAGGTGAACAGGCCTTCCGAGTATGCAGTGACTTATGAATGCTACATAAATAAGCCAAAGACTCTACTCTTATTCAGCTGCAGCCACCTTACTGTCGTTTCGACCCAGACAGGCTGATTCGGCTTCTTAACCTGAGTAATTGTTGATTGCAAGTTGAACCTAGGAGACCACAGCATTGTGGAGAGTGATGTTAGTTGGAATCTTTGAATCATCAGTACTAGCAACCCTCACTGCAGCAAGGACTGCTGGCAGCCCCCCATGCTACAGGAGAAAGGGAGCCTCTGCATCAAGGGGTGAAGGACTTGGTGGAACCCCTGACACGAGGGGATGGAGAGATGGTGAAAATCCCTGCAGCTAAGGGGGAAGCGACTGTTTAGCCTGAAGAGAGCAGATGGACCAGTGATAATCCCTGAAATCAAAGGTGGAAGGACTGGTTTTGCCTGACCCTGGCAGTCCCAACTGCTATTTATTCCCCATGAGGTAATATGGCTCAATTTGAATTATTATTATTATTTATATTAGCTCCTTTAGTGGATATGGGCCCTGCTCTGAGGAACTTAGATTTAATAGGCACAAAGAAGATAGGAGGCAGTGAAAGGAGCAATTTTTGGAGGGTTTTAGACCCAGGACTCCCCTGTGGGTGGCACAGAAGACATGAGTCTTCAGGAGGGATTTGAATGTGGAGAGGGTGGTAGCTTGGAGAATCCAGATGGAAAAGGCTTTACCTGCACAAGGGGGTTGTATGGGGAAGAAACACACAATCATGGCAGAAGCACTGACTACTGGTAGCACTTCTACAGTCAGGCACTGACTTACTGGGCATGGGCATCCTTAACTTTAGGCATTTCTCTAAGTGGCAGGATCCTTAGTGTCCCTGGAGCGGGCCAGTGCTGGTTTTCCTACTGTGCAGAAGGATTTAAATGGAGCGGGAGAGGGTTTCCATCCCCACCCAACCTAAAGACACCACTATGAAGCAGGCAGTCTGGCCCAGTTGGAGACTTCATATTATCAGCCTCTTATATTGTCAGCATCCTACCAATAAAAATCTGTCTGGCTCTTGTGGGTAAAGCAAATCATTGGAAGCTTCTCAATGCAGAAGTTGTCTCTGGTGCATTGTACAGTGCCAGTCACACAGCTGGCACTAAAAGGCTTTGACTGACCTGCACAGTGGCCTCTGGGAAAGTCTCCCCACCTGAAAAGAAATCAGGATACTCACCGAGAGCTAAATGCTGTGTCAGTTTTCTTGAGTCCCTGAGTTTCAAAAACTGCAGTGTTTTGTTCTCCTGAACTTCAGTGACTGAGCAGCTGTTCCTAAACTATGCCTCTAATCAGGGTCGTTGGATTCCCGTGGCACGAGCTAGCTTAAATCTTGGCCCCCTTCAGTCTCTAAAAAAAATCCATCTGCCAGGTCCTCTTTCCTTGCCTGTTTGCTTGGTCATCTCACTCTTCTTTGTATCCCTCCACTGGCTCCCTAACAGTTAACATGTCATATTTAAGCTTCTTGTCACCATCTTCATATCGCTGTATAATTCTGCCTCTGCCTACTTATCCTCCCTTATCCTTCCTTTAGCCGCAACCCCTTCACTCGGGCAGTATTCCCAGCATTGTCCACCCACTTGTCCCATTTTCATGCAATAACCTCCCTGCCTCCTTCAAGCCCCCCTCGGCCCCGCCCCCCCTCCCCCCATGGTAAAATGTCACTGAGCTCACCTGCAAAAGCTCTGCCCAAGGGTAAATTCCTCCTAAAACTCCCACTTCTCTCCTGAGATGTGGAATTTTAGGGGATTTTTAAACCAGCCGTCATAGTATGAGTCAGACTTTTTTTTCCCTTGGGTTGTATGTTTATTTTAATATGTCATGATATAGAAGAAGGTTAAGCGTTCACCCAGAGCTCATTAGCTTATAAATTGGTGTTGCTTCTAACAACAGAGTAGGAGGCCAAAATATTAGCTGCTTTTATTTCTCTATATGGAGACCTCTGATCAGAGAAGCTTCATTCAGTTTCTGAATCCATTTCTTTTGGGCCCAAGCCAGCCACATATACACTGAGAACTTTCTTTGGAGTGCCTCTATGAACTCCAAATCATCTAAGGAACTTTTTATTTTTTGTAAGAGATTTTTATGCTTTTAATCGCTTAATCAGGTCTATCAAAAATATTGGTGTTTAATTATTTCACACCAGTGTTTTTCAATCTCTTCAAGAGTCTCTTTTCTTTTCTTAAAATTTAGCAGAGATGAGAGCGAGGGATTAAAAAAAATGGTTAGAGACTTGATTTTTTATTTTGCAGTAGAAGAGAGAGTCTCTAACTTTCAGCTAGTTAACAGTAGTGCAAATACTGTATCGAAGTGTCTGTTTTGGTCGGGGTAGCAAAAGCATTGCTCCTCAGCAACTTCACAAGTGTGGATTGACATCTGCCTTATTGACAGGCGTCACTCTGCAGGGCACATGGGCGTTGGGTAACTCTGTTATCATAAACTGTGCACGGATTTCATTCCAGAGGGGGAAGAATGCTAGCTTTTCAGGGGCGTAATTAATAAAAATCAATTGACTCCCTGCTTCCAAAGTTTCCTTGTACAAATCCTTCTAATAATAACTGGTAATTAAAGGCTTTTGTAAACGCAATCACTGATTCTATTGAAATGCTTTTTCTTAATGTTAGGTACTTGATGAGTAAAGAATGTTTGTCTTACTTCAAAATTACACATAAAATATCTTCAACCAGAATTTGTTTTTTAATCAGTTGGTTAAAATAATGCTTTTTCAGCTGTACAGTTAATGTACAAAATGCAAGAGCAACAGTTCAACAGCACTCTGCAATTTGTCAGCTATAAATTTGAATAGGTAGCTTATGATTAAAACCCTTTACTTCAATACTTAAACCATGATCTCCAGGTGTAGGTTATATTCTAGTCTAGCAACAAAATAATCATATGCTGGCTCTGTTACACTTTGCTAGAGAGCAATATTTCAAATACTAGTATATTTTCTGTATGCTATGTCACCAAAGGAGAAACCAGATGAAAATATACATACCCTTTGGTTGTCTCAAGTTTGTTGTTGTTCTCGAAACGTAAACAGCCTTGATCTCTGTTCATTATTTTAACTGGCTATGCTGTGTCAGAATGATCAGTCTGCTTCAGGGTGGAGCAAGGGGGTGTCTTGCTTTTCTTAGGAAGGGGAAAGTCTACTCTTGATCTAAACTCACTGGCTTGCCCTCTATACGAGATCTTGTTAGTATCGTATATGCTTTGCAGTGTCCCAAACCATCTCTCTCTTACATTTAATAGGAAAAAATATTATGAAGACAGTAGAATTACATTAGCCCTCAGAGTGAAAAGCTAGTCTCTATTGTTAGCATAAAATGTTCTTTCTTAAACAATTGCACATCCTTACAGAGAATCTATGCACAAAATTCCATTGAATCATTCTGTCCTCAGTAATTAAGTTAATTGTATTCAATTTTCTGCATTTCTAATAATTAAACATGTAGCAAGGTATTTGTCTTATATTAAAATCAGGTGATATATTCAAGTGGCTTGTTGAAAAGCCAATGAGACGTGAAAGTCTTTAAGGTGAACCAAAACGTTAGAACTGAATGGTCACATTGCAGTTTGTGATCACAGTCATACAGATAGCTTTGCATATGCAGATGACTTGAAACTCAAGTGGAATAATGGAATAGCCCGATATTAAAACAAATATATTATAGAGAGAGAGAGCTGTCTTTTCTTACTGTGTAGCTGTTACATCCTGCTGAACCACATAAATAATTCGAGTGATCTATCTCGCTCTATTATGAAGTGTTTTAAAGTAGTTTATAAATTATCCGAGAACATGGACAAATTCTTAATAAATGTTTTGAAGGAAAGACATCTTTGACAAACATGCAACACGCCCGTCCCTTCACTTAACAGTGTGAGAAATTTCACTCTACACGTTCTCTGAAACCCTCAGGAGGTCTTTCAGCAAAACCAAGGAAGACCAAATTAGACAGTCCTGATTTGTTTTCTTTAATGTAAAAAAATAAGCAGGAAAATAAAATCCAGGCCTTTCTTATTCAACACAAAGAAGCTGTGGCACTGGCAGACCAGGTGCCAGCTCATGCTAAGGCCCCTAAGTCTCAACTGAACACTGACAAGTACATAGCTGGAACCAGTCTGGCTCACCTGTGTGTTGGTATTGTTAAAATAGGTAGAGTTTTTATGTGCTTAGCATTTAGACTTTATGGAAGGCTTGTAAATTGCTGCATGCATTAATCTCACTTATAATATCTATATCCCATGTTATAAGGTAATATTTAAGTGTTTGCTTTCTAACGGAAAGTCACCAGACAGGATAGAGGCATTAACATGTGTGAAATACTAGTTTTCCACAGGAGGCATGTAACAGGGACTGCTCTCTTATTGCTCTGGTACCTCCTAGTGGCCCATTCTGGGATTAGTTCACCATATGGTCAGATGCCTCTTCCGGCGGTTGCTCAGCCCGTCATCCCACTCACTCGCTTCATGACCTCTCTCATGCTCTGAGAGCTACAGCGCTTTCTTCTTCATGGCTTAGTCCTCCGCTCAAGTCACATTGAAGTTCTCCCCTACTGGGGTATTATCAAAGTCTCCTTCCAAACTGTCCCCAGAAGTCCCCATGTAGGCTGCCCCTTGTGTGCCACTCCCACTCCCATGGCTTGTAGGAAAACCTGTGCCTACCCTCTACAACAGGTTCTAATCCAGAGACCCTCGACCCAGCAGCTCAGGTCTTTATTCTCCCAGCCGTTACTGCTCCTTTCCTGGGTGGCTTCCTACACTGTCTATTGCAGGCTCCTACTATTCACTTCCTCCTCCCCCGCCCCATCAGCTATAGGCTTCTCACTGAAGGAATCTCTGGTCCAGCTTCCTGGCTTTATAGAAGCCCCGTCTGTGTCTGCCTGAGGTCCCTTCCAACCCTGATATTCTATGATTCTATGCCTAGGTGAGCTTCATCCCCAAAAGCCTCAAGGAGCCCTAGCTCCCCTCCAGGTGCAGTGTCTGACTCATTGGTCTCTTGTGCGTATATTAACCTCTCCAGGACTAGTGGGGGGAGGGGATGAATGTCCCATTACAAGATGTTATCTCCTGCCCAGCAAAAGAAGACCCATCAACACCAGATGAACCATTGTGGAATATCAGAGGACAAAAGGCTTTGTTGACTGCTCCTCTCACCCCCATGAAGAAGAGATGTGTAACTGAATTCCTCCCACCAGCTGAACTTGCAATTCAGAGCAGAAGGGGGGAAGGGTTAAAAAGTCCTAATCAGCAGACATTGTATCTTTTGTGCTGCTTGGACTCTGAAGGGCAAGGATTCCTAAGCAGCTTCCCCAGTGCTTGGCCTAGTTTAGCCCTAAAGGACATGTAGAGTTTGCTTATTATAGAAGCTTCTATTACCTTTTGAAACTTAAGACTGGAACTCATTTGTGTGTATACACGCTTACCTGCTTTAACCTTGTAAATAACTCGCTTATTTCCTTTAGATAGTTTATTATAGGATTGACTATACAGGCGTGGTCTTTGGTGTGAGACCTAAGATACAATTGACCTGGGGTAAGTGACTTGTCCTTTGGGACTGGGAGTAACCTGAATATTGCTGTGATCTTTGGACCATTTATCACAAAGGTAAGCTTACCTGGGTGGCAGGATAGATCAGCACGGAGACTGTCTGCATGAAGGCTATTACAGTGCTGGAGAAGTTCACTCTTGATAACTAAGTATAGAAGTCACAACCAATTTGGGGTTTGTGCCCTGTTTCCTAACAGTCTGCTCTGAGTCTGGCACTCTTGAACCACTGCAGGACAGCTTGACAGAAAAGGACACAAGCTCAATTTTTTTAGAAGTTCTTTGTGGATCACCTTTTAGCACCAGCATCGAATACTTGATCAGCTACCTTAATATGAATATTAACTGAGCCAAATACTGTCCTGATATGTGCATGTAGAGCTCCCGCTGACTTCAGTTGAGTGATTTTAATGGAAGCAGAGCCAGTGCAAGGGTTGTGAGCACAATGCAGGTCTCCCTTTGTCTATAGCACCCTGGCAGTGCTGTGGCTGGGAGTGGTGGCAATACAGCACTTCTTTTTTATATACAAAGAAGATGAAAGGGGTAAGAGCACCTGGAACCTCAGTTTGGAGGAGGTTGAGATGAGAGTGGCTTTCTCAATCCTTAATAAATATGTGAGAGGCATCTCGGGGCATCAGAAGCTACCAAACACATCCCACAGGTGGCAGCTGGGAGAATATCCACATGTGGACTGCTCCAATAGATGAATAAGGAGCTGTGGACCTAGGTTGTGCATAGGGTTGATAACGCTGTCGTGTAGAACTAACTCACTACAGAAACGAACTCCAGGGACCATACTGGTGCACAGCAGGTTCCAAGAGGAGGTAAGCCTGAACAGACCAGCATAAGACAGAAATAAATGATGGAAACTGGTGGATGCCCTATACACACACCAGAGGGTGTGGAAGGAGAAAGCAAGAAAGAAAGAAGATGCCCACACTGGAGGGCAGAGTTTGCCTATCTGTGTATTTCAAGGAGTAGCTCTTTTGATCGGCAGCGATATGCCCAGCACTATAGCCATTCTTCACTGGCGGGAATGCATCCCCCTTAAAGAGTCACAGAGGTTCAGAAAGCTGACATGTTCAGTGGTGATTGTCTCCTCAGTAGTGTGAGGGTGGTTTGGAGCTTTCTCCTTAAATAAATAAATGGAGATATCCTATCTCCTAGAACTGGAAGGGACCTTGAAAGGTCATCAAGTCCAGCCCCCTGCCTTCACTAGCAGGACCAAGTACTGTTTTTGCCCCAGATCCCTAAGTGGCCCCTCAAGGATTGAACTCACAACCCTGGGTTTAGCAGGCCAATGCTCAAACCACTGAGCTATTCCTCCCCCCCCATCAGTCAGCCATGTGGTGCTCTGATGTTTTGGCACCATCACTACCTCTCTCTGGAGGTGGTTTCCAGTCTTCTTGTGTGGCAATGGTCTGTCACACCAGCTTAGATTTACTACTCTGAGCATACCGCAGCCTGCATGTTGCATATTCTGGCATCCATTTTTATTTTGGAGTGGTGGAGTTGGATCAGTAAGTAGGAAAGTGGGTTTGAAAGCTCTGGCTGATACTTTGAGAGACTTTTTCAGAGAAAAAATGGAAGTTGTAATTAGCCATTTGGAGGGCAAACTGCAATACATTAACTCCTGTGGTGGCAGGCTGACAGCATCCTGAGTGGGTGGAAAATACTAGACAGAGCGGACAATAGTGCTGCCCAGCTTCCTTTCGAATACATTGTCAAAGGAAAAGAAAACTAAAATAATGATTGCTGAGGAAAAACATCAGTGAAAAGAACATACAGTCAGCATTCTACAAAATGGAAAGTGACCTTTTTAGGTTCTATATTCCCTTTAAACTGCAGGGTCTGTTAAATCCCAATGACATGTCACTGCTGCCATCTATTAGCAAGCACTAGAACTGCCATATCCAATAGTAATATTACTACAGCAAAGGCAGGGGAGGACTTGAAACCCTTTCAGGCTTTCATAGCAGCAGCAGCTCTGATAGAAGGCTGAAAGGACAGGAATTCATCAGCTCAGAGGCTGAAATACAAAACAGACATTTTAAAAAGTAAAGAAAAAGCAAAAGGATTTTTTCCATCTTTCTTTCTCAAGATCAAACTGGCAATTGATCTCCAGACAAATCACACAGGCAAACTAATAGATATTATGCCTTACATCTATATTTCACTGATGTCTTAAACATATGCTATGATCAGAGATGGTGTATTCAGTAAGTTGTATGTCACATACATATCGTCTTAATAGAATGATAATGAAACAAACAATTGACTGCATTTTAAATTCTCCCAGACAAAGCACTACGAGAGCTGCAAACCCAGGAAAGAAAGCCACTGACAATGAGTAGACACAGATTGCCGGGTGATAAACTCTACCAGGGGGCATCGGCTTGCACCCATGCTGTGGCATACATCCCACGGGCATCGGCTTGCACCCACCCTCTGGCATACATCCCAGGGGTAACACAATATTGCAGCCAAAAATTACATCACAAGTTTATTCAGTTAGTGCTTCTCCAGCTCTCTAATATTATTCCTCAAAGAGTAGCTCAGCTTGTACTAATTTTGGAAATAATGC